TAACGCTTCTCATAACTATGTGAAAATAAGTGTATAATTGTAACAGCTCATTGTTGGAGGTGAGCTGAATGAGAGAGAGAGCGAGAGAGAGAGATGCAGAGCAGGGGACGCGAGGAACAGTAGGCTATTAAGAACTGCTGCTTTAGAACATTGATTTTGAAACTTGTGATAAAGCAGCGCAGCATGGCTTCGCCCCCTTTGTTGCCTTTTCCCGAGGGCGGGGTTTATCTGGGTTTGTGATGTCACGAACCCGGGAAGTAACTTGTTGTTGTCCCTACCAGCCGTTCTTGTAGGCATTAAACTGCCAGAATTTTAAAAGACGATATCTCCGTTTGCATTGAACTTTCAGCTTTGTAACTTTGCAGATATTGTTTATGCTCAAACAGCAACATTAGACACTAACTAACGTTAAAAAAGTGAAATTGCAATCATCCACCCCTTTAAATAATGTGTTTAGCTTTGATTTAATAGATATGGGGTAATGGATAGAATACATTTTTCTTTCATTTGTATTTTAGTGCCTGTAACCACACTGACTGAATTTTGATAGGTGTTTTTTTGCTTTGAACTAATATGTAAGACTTTGTGCTTGTAACTGAGCAGTGATAAAGGCTTTTCATATATAAACTAAAGCAGAGATCAATTTTATCAGAGCACATTTTGTGTCCATAAAATATTATGATGGTAGTTTTTGGGACATGTATGTTGTACAGTGCTGTACAGACGTTATGAGCAGGGTTTAAATTGGGCCGGGGCCGTCCGGGGTTTGATCCCCGGCACATAGACTCCAGGGCTCGACATTAACGCTTCATTAACGCCGGACAAGTAAGCATGCTGAGGTAAAAAATCTTAATGAAAAGTTTTTATATTTAAAATACAGTTAGTTAGGCAACATCACACAACGTTTTCACCATTACGACTGTTTAATAGTTCTATAAAAAGTTCAATAAGCAAATACAATAATATTAGGTCACTTACATTTTAGGCGGAAACACAGCGCATCTCACAGCAACCAGACGATTCATTGCTGATTGATTCCGTGTTTTGAACGAATCGGTTGAGTCAAAGTTTCATTAGCCCATGCATAAACATCTGATGAATCTGCCATTTGAACGAATCGTTTGAATGAATAACTCAGTGACACGACTCATTAAGAAAGTGACTTGCCACCACCTATTGGCGTTTTTAATTTCATATTTAAAGTATAACTTAATTTAAATAATTTAATAAATAACTCATTAAATAGTGTAAATGTGTTCAAGTCACCTCTGAGATGTGTAAATTCATCAGAATTGCACTTCAGCTCATTATTATTATTAATGTCTTAAATGCAAGAATTTGACATAAGATGATGCATATACCTCATAGGGTTATGGTGAAAATCTTTTGGAAATCATTTTAAGGGAGCAAATGTTGCATTGTAGTGGAATTTAATTTCTGTCACTACTGTGAACTAACCACCGCACACAATATGAAAATATGAGTGTTTTTATAACATGGCACATGCTGGATGAGTGCAGCGGTAGTGGTTAATTCATAAGGAAGCAGTTTGTGGACGTGTATGTTTGAGTTATTGAGGAGCAGTGTTGGGCAAGTTACTTCCAATATGTAATACATTAAATATTACTAGCTGCTGTCTAATATTACAATATTACGGTCTCTGAATTGTAATGCGTTACACTACTTTTGAGTTACTTTCACCAAAATATCCACATTAGTATTATAAAATGCCAAAATGTAGTTTATTGCTGCTCATTCTACATCCAGTGGAGGGTAATGTGGTAGGTCTATAAAGCATAAAATTATAAAATCATATTTAGATACTGGTATGTAGGTCTACATTAATGTTACGTTGTAGTTTAGGTTCTTGTTTGTATATTTAAAAGAATCTCATAATATTATTTAATGCAGTTGTATTTTTTTAGTGTAAATGATTTAATTTGATAACATATAGATAATCACATTATTATAATTGAATTTATAGATCAAATGTAAGAATTTGAAATGAAAGTATTAATAAGACTAGTGGGAAAATGCCCTTTATAAAGGTAAACAAAAAAAAAAGCCCTTGGATAAAATATAAAAAGCACACAGATTTATATGTCACAGCTGATAGAAAACTGATGAGAATATTGCTTCAGAATAAATCATATTTGCAAAAAAAACAACAACACACACATATACATAGGCTATATATATATATGTATATATGTGTGTGTGGGTAGTTTTTGGGACTTGTATGTTGTACAGTGCTGTACAGACGTTATGAGCAGGGTTTAAATTGGGCCGGGGCCGTCCGGGGTTTGATCCCCGGCACATAGACTCCAGGGCTCGACATTAACGCTTCATTAACGCCGGACAAGTAAGCATGCTGAGGTAAAAAATCTTAATGAAAAGTTTTTATATTTAAAATACAGTTAGTTAGGCAACATCACACAACGTTTTCACCATTACGACTGTTTAATAGTTCTATAAAAAGTTCAATAAGCAAATACAATAATATTAGGTCACTTACATTTTAGGCGGAAACACAGCGCATCTCACAGCAACCAGACGATTCATTGCTGATTGATTCCGTGTTTTGAACGAATCGGTTGAGTCAAAGTTTCATTAGACCATGCATAAACATCTGATGAATCTTCCATTTGAACGAATCGTTTGAATGAATAACTCAGTGACACGACTCATTAAGAAAGTGACTTGCCATATATATATATATATATATATATATATATATATATATAAGCTCGATACCATAGAGCACCCCCACATAACAAATCCCAATTTAACCCCTGGTTATGAGTAATGTTTTATTATGTAAGCAATAATGAACAGTTAGATCATCATTATGTAAGGGATAATGCAAGGCTAACTGTGCAGTAAACTATTTTAATGCAGGAGGTGGAGGCAAAGAACCACCTGATGCGATAGCTAAGCTAGCATTATCCCGCTTATACCGTGGTCATTTGCCAGCATTGACAAGTTAAAGCTGATAATGATGTTTGCAGTGCAATATTTGACCAGAAGGGTAAAAATTATGATTGTTTTCATCAGTTATAAACTGATGAGAATATTGCTTCAGAATAAATCATATTTGCAAAAAAAACAACAACACACACATATACATAGGCTATATATATATATGTATATATGTGTGTGTGTGTATATATATATATATATATATATATATATATATATATATAAGCTCGATACCATAGAGCA